CCACACTTCAAGAGGGATGTGGATAACCTGGAGAGGGTCCAGAGAAGGGCCACTCGTATGGTTAAGGGCTTGCAGGCCAAGCCCTATGAGGAGAGACTGGGGCACCTGGACCTCTTCAGCCTCCGCAAGAGAAGGTTGAGAGGCGACCTTGTGGCTGCCTGTAAGTTCATCACGGGGGCACAGAAGGGAATTGGTGAGGTTTTATTCACCAAGGCGCCCCCGGGGGTTACAAGAAATAATGTCCACAAGCTAGCAGAGAGCAGATTTAGACTAGACATTAGGAAGAGCTTCTTCACAGTTAGAGTGGCCAAGGTCTGGAACAGGCTCCCAAGGGAGGTGGTGCTCTCCCCTACCCCGGGGGTCTTCAAGAGGAGGTTAGATAGGCATTTAGCTGGGGTCATCTAGACCCAGCATTCTTTCCTGCCTATGCAGGGGGTCGGACTCGATGATCTATTGAGGTCCCTTCTGACCCTAACATCTATGAATCTATGAATCTATGACCCTAGAATCTATGAATCTATGAATCTATGATTGATTGGTAACTAGTAACACAATAACTTAGCATCTAGGCCTGTGATAGTCCCCGCCTGTCCCCCCACCCCACCAAGACAGACACAGTTGCACAAGCACCCATGTCATGAGTTTTGCTTGTCCGCAGCTTGAGGTGCATTTCCCCCCAAACTCCTGCACCTATCACCTTGAAATTTGTCAGGCTTTGTCGCCTCACCAGGGGCTACCACCCCTGTGGTTTTGACCCCACTGTGGCTTAACACATACAAGTGACATGAGCTTTGCTTTCAAGAATTTGGGGTGCAGTTCCCCCAAAACTCCTGAACTGATCTTCTTGAAACTTGGCAGACTTAGTGGCCTCAGCAGGGGACAGCAAGCTGGCAGTTTTGACCCCACTGTGTCTTAACATGTACATGTGACACAAGTTTTACTTTCAGGATTTTGGGGTGTAGTTTCCCTAAAGGTATCTCCTTGAAAATGGCAGGCTTTGGTGCCTCACCAGGGGCTAGCATCCCTGTAGTTTTGACCCTGTTGTGACTTAACACATACAAGTGACTTGAGTTTTGCTCTCAAGATTTTGGGGTACAGTTTCTCTGAACTCCCTGCACCTATCTTCTTGGAACTTGGCATGCATCATTCCTACAGAGGCAGCTACCATTTCTGTAAGTGTCATCCAAATCTGGCTATAAATGACAAAGTTATAGCCTGTTTCAACCTTCCCCATTATATCCTATGGGCAAAATGTCGAAACAGGGTCGAAACGGCAAAACATTTCGACGGAACGAAATGGAACAGCCATTTTGACTCGAAACAAAAGTGGAAATGAAATACTGTCCTGTTGAAATGTCGAAATGCTGGTCAAAACTAAATGCTTCCATTTTGCACAGCCCTAGTAAAGAGCAATAAGATCAGAAGATATAACAATGAAAACAGACTGACCTCTTAATAAATGCCTAAAAAGAACACCTAGCAGTGCAGCAGGTCTGAATAATTTTGAGATAATCAGTATTCAAACTTTCGAGAGCAAAAATGAAGTTGCAACCAAAAGAGAGAAGATACTGAAGTATACTCCCAGAATAATATCAGCAATTGTTACTTAATTGCAATGTACTGAAGTAAAGAGATAGTGTTCTTAAAAGAGAGTGAGAGAGGGAGAGAAAGAAATCAAATACTTTGAGAGATGTGCATTTTTTGTAAATGTACATTTACAGAGTACTTCTTGGGAAAGTCCCTATCATTGTACCAAGACAGCTCTGCTTTGCTTCTAGAAATTAGCTCATGAATTTGCTTAGCATGCAATCAACTGAAAAACAGCAATAAATGCACAATGAATATAATAAATCCATGAGAAATAGGGCAATACAGTTAAGATTTATTCTGGGAAGAGAGGCCCAACAAAAGCTTTCGGTAAAGAAAATGGGGATTATAAGCATGGTTTAAAGTTAGGAAGATCTTAGGGAGAAAGAAGCTCAGTGACAAAAGATGATGCCAGTTGCATCAATTCTGAAGCCTTTTGTGTTTCTTTCAATATATTTAGGAATTCCCCTGCCATATTGTCATAATCAATCACATTCTGTTTATTTAAGAATTCCACTGCCATATTGTCATAATCAATCACATTCTGTCTCCCTGTAATTGCACTCAGCAGGGAATTCAGAAGTCAGGTTGCTTATTGGGCAAAAACCATCCTAGTTTAGCCGTGCCATTCGTCCTCTTTGCTTCTAGGCAAGCAGTCAGGTTGTCCTTCAGTATTATTTGCAAAATCATGGATATAATATGTGAGATAAGACACTAATATATAATCATTAATATACTATCAAGAAACTAAATCACACATTTAACATTGCATTTGTAGGCCTAACACAAGTCAACTGTCAAGTTCTTCATACAACTCTTCTACCAAAAAAAAAATTTCCTAGTTCTATTCTATATGATCTTTAAATATTTTATTTACCACAGGAATGATATACAGCCCAGTAAAGTTCATTACAGATCTTCCATTTACTTCTGTGGGCTCCAAATAAGGCCCTTTCTCATGTCTCAGTTAGTTGTCTGACCTGACTAAAATGTTACATGTCGTGTCTTTTAATGATATTTGACTCTTATGCACTGGTATGTGTAAATCCCCTATTTCTTCTATTCTCCAATTTCCCTGTGCTATGCTACCATAGTCAGTTGTAGGAACTGGATCATGGGTATGAGTATTAAGTTGAAAAATAAGCCAGAAATAACCTAGCTGCTGGAAGGGAATAACCAAACCTATGGACTCACTAACATGATAAAATATTCTAGGGACTAATTAAGTTTCCATGTTTTTGAGCATGTCTAGGGTGACTTTACATCCTGGTTTGGTCAGGATGCTTCCAGATTTCATAGGTTGGTTCCAGTCAATTGGTGAAAATTAAATCAGAAATCCTGGAATCACAAGGGTGTGGGGCACAGTTTGATGGGGTGGGGGTGAGGGGGAAGAGTCTCCTGGTGTGCCAGGCAGGTGGGTGGTGCCTGCCTGCCTCTGCCTGCAGCAGTGCCATTGACTTGGAGAGGGGAGGGAGAAAGGGAAGGGGGGCAGATTTCCTTAAAAATAATATGGTCACCCTAAGCACGTTTCACTTTTCGTCTGTCACTGCCGGGATTCTAGAGTAGCACTTCACTATCTATCACACTCATAAATGATAAGGAGTTATTTAGCACCTTCTTTTCAGAGACAAAGAGAGAGAAAGAGATAGAACACATGGGCACAGTCCCTGGAACTGGAGTTACTACTGTAAAAAAATTGGCATTTCCTTTTCAATACTGGAGTCTTGGAATACTCATAATGCAGTTATTTATGGCTGAGAGACCAGTACACATCATCCAGTTGAAGATGAAAATTCAACTAATGGGGAAAATGGAGAAGGCAACCATGGAAAGCATAATACAGGAAATCCTGCTGGAGAGTGATAAAGTTTCTGAGCTGGATCTTGAGTGGATGTAGTAAGGACAGGTCACACCTTTCTCAGAATGTCTGTTTACTCAGAAGGATTAAGCTCCTTTTTACGACTAGTTGTGAAGTTAGTTATGAACAATATTTCCACTTAAACCGGCAACACTAGACTTTAAAGTTTGTACTCACTTCCAACAAAACTAAACAGGTTTCCAGACCTGTCTGCAGTCCTCAGGCTTGTTTAAACAGGATCACTCAGGAAACTTAGCCTAAAATAAGTAAAAGCATGGTTTGATATAGTTTAGTTAAACAGCATTAAATGCCTTACCTTGATTTTGTTAAATTGACTTTGGAATTAAACTAAACTGAATTAAAATCCCTTTATTAAAGGTGTCCACATAGAGAAAAAAATGCAGTTAAAATCATTTACTTTAAAATTTAAGTCAAATGAACTTTCTGGAGAGTCCTAGTATACTGCACCCTCAAAACATGTGGTGTTTTCTGATTTCTTGACTGATTCTAGTTATCTTATAACTGAAGGGAAATGTGGTTAGGACAGTCCTCATGTCAATGACCCAGCCCAAGTCTCTAGTCTGAAGCAGAGCTGGGTCTTTAACTCCCCAAATTAGTAGCAGAATCATCCATTATTAGCTATTTTGTGGTGGTCTTTCATCTGAAGTTCCATCCTGAATGTGAGCGATCGTTCATTTTAAGTTTCATTGAAACAAGTACATTCCTATGAAAGTTTTGGGGTAAGGATTTTCTCATGGAAAAAAGAAAAAAAAATATTGAAATAATATCCAATTAGTTTAAGCATTGATCTGTTTTTCTGTTGTCCCAGTCCTGGCTGTTCTGGGGTTCCAGAAATAATTTACAGTCTTAAGGCTCATGTTAATCACTGTAGTCAGCTTAGACTGGCCTAAGGACTACAGCATCACTTGGAAAACTCGCAATACTGTATGCAGAAGCCTCAACTCTTGAGATAATTCCCCTAAAACCACAGCAGGACCTGGCACTGCCCTAGGCACCACACAGCTTCTATTGGCATGGTGCTGTGCTGCTGTGCCTCTGACTAGCAGATCTTTTTATCCTTGGATTTGCACCAGGGCTGCAAAGCAAGGCCCCCCTGCCTCTGCTAATGTGTGTACCATTTGCCCCTGCCCTGAGACATTGCTCACAAGAATTCTTCCTATTTTGTTTTCATAAAAAAGAGGAAATTGGTGTATTAGTGTATAAGATGACACTGAATCATTCTCAACATGTAATTGTGACATTATGGGAACTGTCCCTGACCATGAAGTAAATACTATACATAGTTGTGTGTGAAACAGATGCTAATTTGAGGCTTAAGAAATTGTTGCATTGATATCCAAGGGGAAGTCTAAACCAGTCACGGTAAAGTAACATCCTTCTTATCTCTGGGCAGCAATAGAAACAAGATTAATCAGGCTTATGATTGCCTAGCCAAGGGCTTAGGCCAAGTAGCCCTAGTTACAGAGTCTCTTGCAAGGGGAGAAGGAACGGGGAAGGTTTAAGGAGGGATCTGTGGCAGAGCAGGCCTGTTGTCACACAAAGACCTCCGGAGGAAAGAGGTCAAACAGTGAGTGAATATCAGTTCTGTGGGTTCTTAAGGGCCAAAATCAGAAATGAATTTGCAAGAATATAATAATGAAAATTATACGTATTGTTTTCTTTATATTTCCCAGAAAAATAACATTAGACATATATATCCAGGTTCACATATTTCGCCTTACTTAAATGTAAAGTGTCTATATAACTCTTGGATGAATGCAATCCTTTGATAGGTACGCTTCATTTTTTCTTACACAGGGATAGGAATAGGGGTGTACTTCTCCTCAGCACCTCCAAATTCCAAACCCCTTCTGGCAGAGCTTCTTTCTCCTACCAGTTTCCTGGGGCCTGACTCAGTCTCACAGGTCTTCTGGTTGTGGCCTGCTGGCTGGCCTCCTCCACTACTCAGGAAGGAAGGATTCCTCCTTTAAGGCCTGGCCTCACACCACTCCTAGGCCTTTTCCCTGTGGTAACTGCCACAGAAAATTACTCTCCAGTGGGACCTTGCCTGGAAATCTTAGCTGGTGCAACATGTAGAGAGCCTCCTGGAAGAAATTCAATGGTTAAATGATTCCTGGCCAACAGAAGCTAAGGTCATCGCTGAGGGGCTAGGTATCACCACCGAATTCAAGAGAACACACAGAAGAATCTGAAGGATGGTGCATTTCCATGATGAGCCAGCCAATACAGAACACGCAATCTCTTCCCCTGCAGATAAATTCAGGGTTGGGTTGAAGTGTTCATCACAGCCACGGATATGCTCCTCTCAGATCTCGAAGCCTAGCTGAGACCATGGAGAAGCTCTCAAGCTTCTTCTCACCCATACTTGACCCACCAGCTATTGCAGAGGATAAAGAAATTGTGAAGTTTGTGGAGTCCCTGTCCACCACATGCCCATGAGATGTGAACAAGGATGAGTTGCAAAAAGAACTTGGCCTGTTTTACAAAATCAGGAAAGACTCAAATTTGTGCACCTCTGGAGGAGCCATGGGCACTGCACTTAAGCTTCTCAACCGAATTCATGGCAAAGGTGTAGAATCTGTGTTCCCTTAGATGTGCGTTTGCTTGAGAATGCTCATAGTCTTGCCAGTCTGTGTTGCATCCAGGGAATGCACTTTTAGTAAGTTTAAGATTATTAAGAACTATCTGCAGTCAGCAATTGGGGAGGATAGGCTGAACCATTTGATCATGCTCTCAGTGGAGAACACACTTGCAAAGCAAATACATTAGATGATGTAACTGATGACTTTGCATCCATGAAGACGAGAAAGAAATACTTTACTTAAGCTTTCCTTTTCTCATTTTGCTCTTAAAGGAGACCAGGTAGCAAATGGTCATCATGATGATAATTTTGTGGCCCTTTGTTCTGAGCAATTAGCCATTATTCAGGGTCTTGTCCAAGTATTCCTGTTAGGAGGAGAAATTGCTAATAGGCTCATGTTTTTCATTAGTGTATTCTAAAAGGGATATACACACAGCTGTTTTCTTGAGCGCAGTAGGAGGAAACTGTAGGCAGTTTCCCTATTCAACAATCCAAGTCTGCTTTCCCTGAATTAGTTCGCTCTACTCCTTAGCAGTTTGTCTCTGGCTTTCCTCTCATTCTGCAGCCCTTTTCACACAGAGGGTGCATCTACACATGCAATTAATGCACAGAAAGCTTACTGTGCAGTAAGCTTTCTATGAGAGCACATCTACACATGCATCAGTCAGGATCAAATTTGCTCCCAACAGAAGCGGTGCAGGGCAGGGAAATGCCTCCCTTTCTCTCCTGCCATATGGCAGCCAGGAGGAGCAATAGGCTCCCCTGAATGCCAGCCCCAAACTATCAAGGGACACCAGGGTCAGGCCTGGGATTTGTGGGGTGAGGGGGTCAGCTGTTTCCTACCTATAAGACTCAGGGCTGAGAAAGAATCCCCTCCCCGACAGCTCTTTCCCAGTCCCCTGCCCCAGTTGGCCAGCAGGGCAGTTGGCAGTGAGCCTGTGGCTGAGTGGAAGTTCCCCACTCAGCCACAGATGGCCAGGAGCTGTCCCACCAGCAGAGGCGCTAGCAGCAAGGACCTATGCAGCAGGGCTTGTGTAGCGGTTGACCAGGAACAAATTTGCTTCTGGTCAGTCACACCAGCAGGGGGTCTGGCCCTGGAATTGCTCAGCTCCCAGCTCCCCCCAGGAGCTGGGAGCAATCAGTGGAGGGACTGAGTCCCTCTCTGCCCTCTCCCCGCTGACCCAGCACTGTGGGGCGCTCAGTTCCCCACAGGAGCCGGGAACTGAACAGCACCGGGACTGGGGAGCTATTCCTTCCGTGCTCCACCAGGGGTGGCCAGGAGCTGTCCCACTGGTGGAGCAGCTGGAAGTGAGCCCTCAGATGGGCAGGGATTCCCCACTTAGCCAGAGGCAGCTGGGAGCTTCATGTAAACTCCTTTGGCCATATGGCTCAGCTTCTGTTCAGGCCTTGTCATGCTGATTTATGCATTGGACAGTGTTGCTGATGTTTCAAGTATCTTACTAAAGGAGTTTAGTACCTTCTTTTGTTTCTTAAGGAACAGTGGCTAACATCACCCTTACCTATGATTGCATCAAAGACACCAACTTACCCAGAACACCACTTAGTTTACATAGCACTTTCATAAAATCATAGAAAATTAGGGTTGGAAGGGACTTTAGGAGGTCATTTAGTCCAACCCCCTGCTCAAAGCATGATCATCCTCAACTATATCATCCCAGTCAAGGCTTTGTCTAGCCAGGTCTTAAAATTTTCCAAAGATGGAGATTCCACAACCTCTCTCTGTAGCCTGTTCTAGTGCTTTCATGCATTATCTCAGTGTTTTACAAAGGAAAGTATGTACCAACCCTCCCCTTTTATAAAAGGAGAAAGTGGAATAAAGAGAATCGATGCATACTACCTGGTGCTAGGTATAGACTGACCATGGGGTGGCCAATCTATGGCATGTGGAAGCCTCTGTGTATGGCACATGGCAAATTGGGTAAGGGAGCAGGCAGTACAGCAGAAAATAAGACAGGGAACAGAAAGAAGGGCAGCAGATTGGGCAGGGATGAGGATCAGAGTGGTACAGAGACTTATTTGTGACATGCCTGTTAGAAAAGTTAGCCCCAAATGGACTGAGCAATGTATGATCTTAAGGCAGAGACTTTTGAACTTTTATGTATAGCACAACAAAGAGTCAATTAAGTGTTTCCTTAAAGACTGACATGGGGTCAAGAAAATGAACAAAAAAGATTTTTACTTAAGTATTTTAGCTTGGAGGATGGCAGGACTGTGAGTGGAACTCTATCTCTACAAAACGTATGTCACATCAGTTACATTTCGCTGATAAACAGTTAAAAGTTTGGCTTTTAAAGAGCCTGCTTCACTTCTCAGCCTTCGGTGCAGAGCCTCAGATTCCCCTTTCCCCCTGCCACAGAAGTTAGAGGGGTGATAGCTTCTGATGTAATATATATATATATATATTTTTTAATTTATTTAGTGTGTGTGTGTGAAGCAGACCTGGTGATGCGAAACTATCACTATCATTTTTCCCTTGTGAACCACATATCAGTTTCACACTTATCATGGAAAACAGATTGGGAAATGAGTAAAACTTAATCTGATTTTATTTTACTGAGAAAAAAATCTAAATAGAAGCTAAAGAAAACTGTTACATTCTTACAGTCCTTACTCAGCTGTGCAACTTTTTAAAAAGAGAATTGAGTGACATTTTTCAGAAATGTCCAGATAATTTATTCTTCAAAAAATACTTTTTAGTCCTGCAAAATTAGTAATGGATTTGAGATAAATCCATGTAATACTTTGCCTGTAAAAAAAGAATTAAGGGGATTGAGAAAGCCAAACTATTTTATTTGAGATTTTTTTTAAAGTGAAACCCTTTTGGTTTTCCATTTCAGAATGTAATTACATTTATAATAATTAAGAAGGGGAGCAAAACCTGAAACTAAATATTTTTCATTGCCAGTCAATATATGGCAAATAACATAGAATGAACTTTTTCATTTTTAAGGAAAAAAAATGTAATCTATGCCAGGTACATTTTTTCCAGATTTTTCACTTCAGCTAGGAAACCCAAAATTCTTTCACAGCTCTGCTCAGGACTTCTCAGAGTGTGATTCCAGCTAAATGTTCTGTGTGAGATGATTAAACTAAAGCAAATAAACTCTTTTTTTTCCTAATTAAGAACATCCACATTCCAGGTAAATGCACTTTAACTTATGCACATTGATTTCACATCTTTACTTATATCGTCTTAATTTTCGCAAGCATCCTCTTGCACAGGGGTGGCCAGTCTGTGGGACGTGTGCCTCAAGTAGCATGGGTAGCCTCTGTAACTAATCAGGAAGTAAACAAACAGCAGGGTGGCAAATAGAGCAGGAAGCAGAGCAGCAGCTTGGACAGGAAGCAGCAAGCAGAGCTGCCGATTGGGTAAGTAGGGATTGGAGTTGCACATAGGTAGGGGGCAGGGCTAATTTGTGGCATGTCTGCCAAAAAGGTTGCCCACCACCTGCTTTTGTAGATAAACCTTTAGAAATTCATTAACTGAGAGCTAGAGCAGAACTAGACAAATAGTTCTGATAACATACTATCAAAAATAGGTTTTGCTTCTATGTATTCCTTCTCAAAGGAGTAAATGATTACAGAAGATGTAAGGTCTGTTGGCAGTCTCTGGGCAGGACAGAGCAGGGCATGGCTCAACAGGACACTGTCTTGTGGAAACCCTTTCAAGACTGACCTTCCCAGACTGACCCTTCCTTGGCATTTTATCTGTTCACGTTCTAAAGGGTGAACTTATCTGCTCACACCATGTTGTGAAACTGAGGAAACTGACATGATGCATTGTATTTCTTTCTTTTAAATGAAAGCCAGATAATCCAGTTACTTTATAAAACTTTGTATATGGTACCATAATTGTCCCTACATCTCTCGCTCCGAAATTTCCATTTCTACCCTCCTGCAAGGTGGTATGATTGCTGGGTCTTAGATTGTAGCCTTTCCCTAAAATGGGGCTGGGGTTACCCCAGGTACCAACCAGAGAACCGGCGGTATCACAGTTCCTCCCCATTGCTCAGATCAATGTTTATTAAGGGCTAGATCCACAAAGAAAACTGAGATACTCAAGTCCACTGTATTTCCCACTTCAGTGGCCTGTGCCAGAAACTGACAATTTCAAAATCCTCAAGTTAGGTACTGCCTAACCATGGAAATGCCTCAAATCCAGAGCCATGAAAGCACCCCAGAATTAATAGTGCTAAGCCGTTTGTGGAACACAAGGGTTCAATTAGTCTCTTCCTGTAGAGTTTCATACCCTGATTGCCCACGTCCCTGAAGGGTCATAATTCTAACCATCAGCCCACAGGTTTTTGAAAAAACAGGTGTTGAGCTACCTACCTTTAAAAGATTATTCACAGCTGTGAAGCCAGAGTGCAGCAAAGTATCTCTCTGCAGTCCAGAGGGAGGTACTTAAGCCCTATAGAGAGCATAAAGAAAGACAAACTTCTCTTCTCTAAGACAAATTCTATTGGCTGGCATCAGCAGACAATCAGACTGGCTTTTGTAAGTCCCCATCTTAGTGGCCTACTCTTCCCATGAATTGTTGAGGAAGACCAGACACTAACTCAAAACCTAGACACCACTACAGTTGCAGCATTTGAAACCCTCTACTTCCTTCGGTGGTTATAGCCTTAAGCTGTTTTATCCTTTCTCATGCAACAGCTTTCTCCCTTTCTGTGTCTGCCCACGTGCTATGGCTTGCAAATGACTGAACAGAACCTACATTATTCCTCTTTCACTTGACTGATATGAGGAAGTATCATTGGGGGGGCAGGTCCAGCTGGAGTCACCACAAGGCATTAAAAAGGCTGCCATAGCACAGTAAGAGCTGTAGTTGTTGTGTCTTATTGTGTTTTCCTTGTACTGTCCCTTTAAGGCCAAAGCCCTCATGTTCAGCACTGCAGGGTTCAGGTGCTTTGTGGCAATTTTGCAGAACTGGGGACTCCCTTTTCTCTGCCATGAAGAGCCAGAGGCATTCTTGGTTCCTCTCTCTCCACAGGACTGGACGGGTCAAGGCAGAGGCAGAGCAAGTATAAGTTCTGCATATATATACTGAGGGCAATTGTTAGGATCCACCCTGGATATGATTCCAGAGAATTATAATAATAAATACTTGTTAGCTCAACCCAGGAGTGTCCAGAGTATTGTTGCTGAACTCACAACGTATCGGTAGTCTACCCACAGATTTTTTTCTTTCTCTTTCAAAATGAATACTACAGACAAATCAATCTAAGAATTATATTGGTTGATTTTCTCTCAAATATAATTCTTCAAGTGTTACAAGAATATGGTTGGTCTATAAGTGCCTTCTTTACCTTCTTTAAATTAATATGGAGTTAAACAAAGGTAATTGTTTTGTCTTATTTTTAGCTTAGGCTTTATCTGCTTTCTCTCATCTAAGGAGGGGCATTTCATGCTCATAAGCTTGTCTAACACCTATCCCAACAATACAGTTGGTCATTTAAAAGGTATTACCAATCAAAACTTGCTTATCACCAGGGATCTGGGTTTTTCATTTGCTGTGAAAAAACATGGATTTTCTCCTTTAAAGGAGAGAAATGAGGATTTAGAGTTAGATGCCTTGCTGCTCCAAGATGCTTTTCTCCATAAACAGAATGTGAAGTTCAGACATGTAGGGGTATTTCCAATCCTAAACAAACCTGACAAGTAAGTATAAAGTGCCTGGTCCGTGGTTACAGAGTGAGTATGTGAAAGAAGAGGGATCTGAACAAGGGTCTCACAAGAATCAATACCTGTTGGACCCTGAGGATGATTGATGCGTACTAAACACTTACCATATTTTATGGTGTACAGGTTGATACATCATATAAGTCGACCCCATGTTTCTGTAAAAAAAGTAGGGATTGTTGTATGTCTGGTGTTGTATGTCTGACAACCGCACCTCAGTGTGCAAGGCACTGGAAACCTGAGTGGGCTCACGGAAGAGGGAGCATGTTGGCAGGCTCCTGGGAAGTTGGATTTGGCCCCTAGGAGCTCAGGCAGCACATGGCCTGCTGGCAGCCCTCTCAGCCAGCCCCAGAGGGTGTTGCTGCCATGCAGGGAAGAATCAGGCCCCCTGCAGCTCAGGGACTGCCTGGCCTGGTGGCAGCTCACTCCCTGGCCATGGGACAGGCAGAGAGACCATGCCAAAAGCAGGATAGTCTCACCACTTGCGTCTTCAGCTGGCTCCTGTGGTCAGCAGCATGCCTGACACTGGCTGGGAAGGGGATGGCTTGCCCCAGAGGTAGCATGGAGTGTGGGGCAAGGGCAAGGGGGTGCGGGGAGGCTAGGTTTGTCAGGCAGAGCCGGCTTCCCCTCTGCCCCTGCCCATGAAATATAGTAGTTGCTTCTAGTGACTGGTTAGAAATAGTCTTTGATGAAAAGCAATTACATTTTATAGAACTCTAAATGTAGTTGGGATCTTTCTTCTCTTTCTTCATTCTTGTTTGTTTCCAAAGGAAAACAGTATGGTTGCCACTCCAAGTTTCATTGCTATGGTCTGGTACATCACGTTATTACCTCTGGCACATGTGGTCCCAGAATGTAGCGAGTGTGAGATACTTTTACTGAGAAATCTTTAAAAACTGGATTCAGTCAGCTTACACTACAGATATTTGTTGCTAATTAAACTAGGTTTTAATGTTAGATCAGCGGTTCTCAACTGGGTGTCTACGGCCCCCTGAGGGGTTGGGAGCAGGTCTCAGAGGGTCTGCCTGGCCAAGCCCAGTGCAGGGAGGAGCTGTCTTAACTGAGGCAAGTCCACAGGAAAGGGTGGGGGCAGGGGTGGGCCCACCTCACCCTTCCCAGCCCCACAGGTTCCATCTTGTGGGTGGTGCTGCAGTTGGGCAGGAGAGGATCTATGCTGCTGCTGCTCGAATGAATAGTGGCCCAGGACTCCCCGCTCCTGAGCTCCACCCACTGTACCCAGGGCCATGTGGGCACAGCTGGGGATCTAGGCAGTTGTTGTAGCACAGGTGGGCTGTGGAGTTTTTATAGCATGCTGGAGGAGGGGAGGGAGTTCAGGAAGAAAAAGGTTGAGAACCCCTGTGCTAGATAATGGCCCCTATACCTCAAAATTTGGAGAAATTTTGTCAGATTTTTCTGATCTCCATTTCAGTAAATAGCAAATCCTCACCTATTACAAACTTAAGGGTGAATCTAAAAAAAAACCTAGTGATCACCAGCTATCCTTTTTTTCTCTGATAAAAAAATCCCCAATTTTCAGATTTCAAAAAGTAACCCAAAATCCACATTTTTCCATGATTAAAATGAAACACCACTGATAGATAGATAGATAGATAGATATAGTAGTGTTTCATCTTGATCATGGAAAAATGTGGATTTTGAGTTACATTTTTTAACCCCAAAATTGTTGGTTTTTTATCAGAGAAAACCAGGATCCCTAACTATCAGTGAACAAGGACAGTTTAGTGGTTCATGCTCTAGCCGAGAGGCAGCAAGAATATGGCCCACAGGCTGGATCCAGCCTGCCAGGACATTCTATCTGGCCTGTGGGGCACCTATAAAATTTAGAAAATTAGTATTTATCTGTTCCTGGCTCCCTCTGAAAGATGACAGGAGCCAAAGGGCAGTAGGACCCAGGGGAAGCTGTCAGGAGTCACAAGAAAGGCCAGGACAGCCCAGCCCAGCCCCTCCACCTCAGCCCTCTCTCACCCCCATCCCCCACCTGGAATTGTCTGCCTGTGGCAGCTTTCCCTGTATGCAGCTGCTCCCCTTGCCCCCGGCTGCATTGCTCTACTGCAGGTCCAGAGGCACGCCAGTACCCTGGGGAGGTGTGTGGAAGTGTGTGTGTGTGTGTGTGTGTGTGCTTGCACTGCCATACACAAAGATCCCCACACCACACCCCATCACACAGCCCCGCCACCCTCCCCCCACACATTCCCCCACAAACCCCATACCCACCCACACCCCACATATCCACACACACCCACATGCTCCCTCACCCAGTACCCACCCCACACCTATCCATCCCCCACAAACCCCTCCCCACATACAACCTCCCCCATATACCCACATACCCACAGCCCCCCACAAACCAAGACTCACCCCATGCCTCCCACACCCTCACAGTTTACAAGAGTAAAACTTCATTTTACTCTATTGTGTGATCATCTCTATGTACACTATACAAACATATGTAAATCAGGACAAAAAGATTTTTTGAAATCAAATTAATGAACATTGTAGATGTTTGATTCTTAGAATATAATTTGGTATTTTTCTGGTTCTGAGATGGCAAAACCCCTTGTGGAAAGGAGTATTTCCAGGGGTAAGGGGAGGGACTTCTGGTGGCGAAGGTCGGGGGGGTAGGGGGCAGGACTTCTAGTCCCAAGATGGCAACCAGGGGGCAGGGCACCTGCAAGGGGCATGGCTACCCATGAAGCCCTCGACAACTTCCCAAAACTTGGTAAGCGGCCCTCTGCCTGAAATAATTGCCTGCCTCTGCTCTAGCCACTACTTTGTTCTGTCACAGACACCTTGTGTGTCCAAGTCATGTAGCTCCCCCATGTTTCTTTCTCACCTTTCCAAACTGGTGA